AGAAACAGATCATCGACAGAAATATTTAAATCTCATTTGGACATACTTAGGTAGGAAAATTCACCCTAAATATTTTTCCCACAGCTGTATTTGGTGTGCAACTTGAGTACTCAGGAGTTTTAAATAAGGTGTGATTTCTGTGTTTAGAACAATTGGTTTGCTGAAGGACTCTCTGGTCAGGGTCTGCATTGCTTTCTGTGTTCCAAGGGTCCGGATGCTGACCCCCAATGGCACTGTTGTGTTTTGGGAGTACTTACAGGAATTCTGAGAGGCAGAAAGCAAATTTGTGTCAAGGTGGAGGTTTACAGAACGTCACACAGCTTTAAAATGTCTCCTCTTGGAAAGCTTTGACTTCCACTCAGAAGCTGTCTAATTTTCCAAGTTAAAAAAAAATTCCCCGTCACAAAGAATGCAAGAGTGAGGAGCAGTCAGCTTCCCGCTTTCAGCTAGGGTTGTGTGCAGTTTATGTCAAAACACTTCAGTGGAGAAACACAAATACAGACTAATGTTTGACTTCTTTTGTTGTGTTGAACTGGGGCCAGCAAAAGTATTTATATATAAATCCACTTGTGAAATGCATAACCCTCTCAATGTGACTTATATGTTTAAGGCTTAAAGAGAATTCCGGCTGATTGACAGGGACTAGTGCTCTTACAATGTCAGAATGTGTACCTCTGCTTATGTGGAAACTGGAGTCCACGCTTTCCACTGTGCGGTGTTTATCTTCTAACGAAGGGTCGCTGCATTAGCAGCGCTTATATTTGCCCTACTGTGTGTATCGCCCATCTTCATTTTTCTTTTCATAACCTGAGGGAGACAGATCCTCCCAAGCCTCAAGTGTACGCCTAAAATATCTACTTAGACATCACCCAAGGGCAAACGAGATGGCTTTGCTGTTCTAAACACTTGACACGATGTAGGTATAAAAGAGAGACCTGTCACAGGCAGCTGGATCTTTTTCTCATCTCTCTAACAGTAACACCTACAGAACCCTGCTTTCTTCTCTCTAATGCTGTAAGGGCTGAAGACTTTCTCTTTTTTTGATTTATGGTTTATGTGAGCTTTGAAGGCTAGAACTACCAGGAAAATGCTGGCGCATCAAATGTTTTAGAGCCTGTATAGATCGACACATCTCTATTTTTCAAAATCTGCACCCTCTTGTTTGTTGAACTCTGGCACCTTGTTTAAATTTTTATTGCATTCCCACATAGTGTTATGCATAAGCATATAAGAAATGCCATCACGGATTAGGCCGATGGGGCATCTTGCTTATCTCTAAGGGCATTTTGTGAGGAGGTAGAGTTGTCTTTCTTGATGCTATTCTAAAACATTAGGAATTGGCGGCACATGGTCCTTATGCTCCCTTAATATTCCATTATAGAACCACACTTGAGGATTTCCCCAAGCCTTTTAATATTTATTTATGGTTTCAAGTTTTGTTATCCTTTATGGGCATTAAGATCACTATATGATATGGATTAAAAATTGTATCCTTTCAAGATTCTAAAGTGAGTTCTTAAGACCCAGCATTTAGAGATTTAAGAAATATGACCCTGTTTATGAAATTCATATTTTCATCCTGTCCCAGGATTCACTCACAAGACTGTATGCTTCCAAAGTGTTCTCTAAATCACAGGCCTGGTGATTTCTTCCCATCATGCCTGGGCAATTGCCTGGCGAGCTGCTTCTAATGAACAGGATAGGTAAATGTGACAGAATAGCCAGGCATACCCCACTTCAAGCCCAGCACTTGGAGAGTTGTCAGGGGGATAACGAGCCGGAGGCCAGCCCGGGCTACATAACCAGACTTCGCCTCGAGACAGACAGACTGACAGACAGACAGACAGACAACAGCAGTGGGGTATAAAAGCCATGGCTTCTGCTTCACCAGGACTTCTGTCCCTTGCTGTCTACACATTTGCTTTGTGGAGGCAGCTCCAGGCGAAGACCCGAGGGCAAGGCAGCCCTTGACCCACAGCCGGTGAAGAACCGTGCTGGTCATGCTAAGCTTGCAAGGTGAACCCTCCATGAAGCAGCGCCTCCAATCGACCGTTGAGGAGGAGACCCTGAGGTAGCGGGGAACTTGAGGACTGTGTTAGAAACTGCTGACCGCGTAACCGAATAGGGGCTGTACAGGGCCTCACTTTGATTACATCTTCGAGCCAGTCTTGCCATTTGATGCCAAGAGTTTGCCATGTTGGGTCTCTAAAACAACTCGATCATAGCCATTCTGGGGTTGCATCCTGTGTGTGGTATGAGCAGGTTTTGATACGATAGCTGGCTCACCCATGCTTGCCCAAACAGCAGTGAAGGGTCTCAAGAACATGGACAGAAGAAAGGCCTTTTGAGTCCTGGAGGGAGAACAGAAACCCCATGGCTCTCCCTACACCCCACTAGCCAAAGCACGTCATGAGGGCAGCCTGGACTCATGGAGTGGGACAAACACATCCTGCCTTTTCAGAGAAGAACTGCAGAGTCGATCGTAGAGTGTGGCGACGCCCGGGATGAATGACCGTGGCCAGTTCTGCAAACCAGCAGATGTGACTCAGCACGGCATCTCCGCCCACCTCGACAGCGCCCCAGTGTCGTCAGCCGTGCCACCATTCCGTGCTCTGAGCTATCTTGCAGCTTCCGCTACCTACATATTGAGGCTATCACAGGCGCTACCCTGTGCACTAGCATCATGAACAGTTAATGAATTAATATCCATAAGGACCTTAGGCTGAGTAAACTGCTAAAAAGTGGTGGGCTTCTATTATCAGAATTGTGTTGCTTTGTAACGATTATTTACCTTCGTGTTTGTTGCTGTGCTAGGCCTTGACTCCTTGAGGGGAGAAGCATTTAATCTTTCACAAAAAAAATTACCAAGTCTCGGTTATGTGCCAGGGTAGGAACTGTTATATGACGGACCTTGGCAAACCATAGCCAGGGTAGGAACCGCTATATGACGGACCCTGGCAAACCATAGCCAGGGTAGGAACCGTTATATGACGGACCCTGGCAAACCATAGCCAGGGTAGGAACCCTTATTCGAGGGACCCTGGCAAACTATAGCCAGGGTAGGAACCGCTATATGACGGACCCTGGCAAACCATAGCCAGGGTAGGAACCGTTATATGACGGACCCTGGCAAACCATAGCCCACTCCTGTGTTGCTTTCAGCCCCATGTGTTTGCCTTTTAGGGCCCACCTCCCCTCCCCTGACTTTTTCTGTTTTGTAATTCTTTAGGTCTTTGGAATTTCTGGTGGTCTCAACACAGCCAGTGGTTATTTTTTTGTATCCGTATTGACTGTTCTAGCCTTGTACATGAGGGTAGATGAATGTGGTTTTGATTTCTGTCTGTATTTTCCAAGGACTCTTTTTATGGCCTTTGTTTCTGAGGCTCTACTAGGAACTGAGAATGTCTGAGAGAACCTTCTGTTCATTTAGCTAAATGGCAGCATCATTTATCTTTTCCTTATTCAAGCACAGGTTGATGAAAACATCCTAAATTGCAAGAAAGACTCATAAAAATATAGAGGTGTTTTTTAAAAAAACATGTATATTTGTGAGCCTGTGTGAGTTTATGTGTACCACGTGGATGTAGGAACCCTCAGAGGCTAGAACATATCACTGGATTCCCTGGAACTGAAGTTAAAGATAGCTGTGATGCTTCATGTCGGTCTTGGGAACACAACCTGGATCCACTATGAGAGCAACAAGAGTTCTGAACTGTTAACCTGTCTCTCCATCCCTCAGAAGGACTCTCACTCACTAATGGCTGCATTGTTTTTTTTTTAATCTTCCAGTTGATAATAATGCCACTTACCCAATTTTCCTGTAGGACCACAGCAAAAAGCAAATTAAAGAACAGGAACATGTTTACTGAGAAGCTCGAATAGTGGTGTGTGCTGGGGGATGGTAAATAGAACCTAGAAACTGGTGAAGAGCCAATACATTCTAGGGACTTAAAAGATCTTGGATTGTTCTAAAGATTTCTGAAAAACTAGCATAAAATTTTGCTTAAGATTGTGGCTTCATTCCTTTTCCATCTTTCTCAACTTTTTTTGTTCCTTTCCTTTAACTAAATCAAAGCTGAACAGGAAAGTCTGTATGACGTGGAATTACTGCTACGGTGACTATAAAACGTTGCACGTGCTTCATTTCTGTAAGTACAAGGTGCTCTGTCTCACTTTTATTTTCCTCTGTTAGGTATGCAGCCTATTTGCCAGAGTGAGTTATCTCCTCTTAGACTCTGGTTATATACCTAGTCTATTTTGTAAACAGAATTTCCATTAAAAATGAATTACTTTCCCTTACAGCTTATTGATGGGACTGACACATCGCTAAATTTCTTTCCTGAGCCAAGATTTGTCACCTCGATCAAAAGTTGGCAAAAGCGATTCATGATAACTCAGAAGGTGCAAGCAGTGTGCACACCACAGAAGTTTTTCACAGAGGCACAGTTGTCCTTCAGTCTTTGTCCTTAAGCAATTAGCCAGCAGTAACAGAAAAGCAGCAAATCCATACTATGATTCCTGGTGGAATCTTGGCATTTGCCTGAAACACTTTTCTTCATTTAGAAAGACCGTGTTCTTCTGACAGACAGTCTGGAACAAAGTGTGCACACACACACAATGAGTCAAGAGTTGGAATGCAAAAACATGAGACCCCTAACAGTAAGCTAAAAATGTGATATAGGATGCTTGGCAGGAGGATTATATTGTAAATCTCCCGAAATCCAGCCCATGACACAAACCATCAGGCACGGATGCTATTAGCAGTCTCTCCCCCAAGATAGCCAGACTACAGGGGAGGGGGGAGCTTAGGAGGGGCATGTCTGCCACCTCTTTTAGTTTTGCTAGTAGAGGTTTTTTTTATAAAAGCTTTTTTTTCTGATTATAAGATTAACACATGCTTGTAATAAAAATACAGTAGGAAAATAGAGAAAAACCAGTCCAGAGAACGGAACTGGGAAATTTGAGGGATATTATTCAATCAGCCATAGTTGATGGTTTTATTTCTGAGTTTTGGTGGATTGTGGCTTACTGTGTTTAATTATTCAAGGAGTGTAAAAGTCATTGATGGTGGAGAGAGATGCAGATCTTTCGGTCTGGTATCTGCCTGGTTGCTGCTGATTTTCCAAATAACTCAGTGTTTCCAAGTCACTGCATTTCTGAGCCACTTCAGTTTCTTCAGGAGGATGAAGCCCCCCGGAGCAGGTTCTGAGGTGAGGGACATTTGCTGTCACTGAAGTGGGGCAGCCAAGGTTGGTGAGACAGGCTGAAGACATGTGCCATGTAAGCAGCTTTCCGGAACAGAGTAAAGCTGTGTGGAGTTAAGAGCAGCTCTGAAACACTAAAGAACATCACCAGAAACAAGGAAGAATGCCATCTTGGACACTGTGGTAGATTGAGTAAGAACAGCCCCATAGGTTCATGTATTTGAATGCTTGGTTGGCCACCAGGAGGTGTGGCCTCGTTGCATGAAGTGTGTCACTGGGGCTGGGCTTTGTCTCCCTTGCTTCTCCCTGGGATCCAGGGACTCTCAGTCCCTTCTCCACCGCCATGCCTGCCTGTCCACGCCTCTGCACCTGTAAGCCAGCTCCAATTTCTCTTATAAGGGTTGCCGTAGCCACGGTGTCAGGGCTCCTCATACAGAAAGGAGTAAACATTAATGATTATTCGCAGATGAGAGCAGTGGATGACGGCCCCACCCATGTGAAGTGTGGGCACCATTCACGGCAGGAAAGGTCAAGCCACAGGCAGGGGTGTGGGGGTGTGGTGGATGAAGTTATGACACTTTAGAAAGCTCAGTTGTACTTCTCTACCCACATACATTGTCGGGCACACCTTACAAGTTCCACGACGCATTTTGGTGCCTGCAGACTGTTATCAGTAGCTGTAGTTTAACCACATGGAAATGGCAGAAATGATAATAAATATGAAAGAGGTAGTAAGTGTCATGGGGGGGGCACTGCTGGGCCAAGCATCGACTCCTAATACAACACCACGTGCTGTGTACCGCAAATGTTCTTCTATTGAGAGGCTGGAGCCCGGGGCCCCTGATGCAGCCACTGAAATGAAAAGAAGTAGCAAAATTAGGAAGCAAACCTCTGAAGTTTGGTTCTAGACCTGGAAAATAGAGTTGTCTGTGTTTCCTGAACTCCCCAGAAGGTGCGAAGAGTAGAACACCGAAGATGCAGGTAAAACAGATGCCTAAACACAGACGAGAGGCATGTGCGCGCATGTGTGTCTGTGTGCAGGACGCGTGTGTGCATGTGTGTCTGTGTGCAGGACACGTGTGCGCATGTGCGTCTGTGTGCAGGACGCGTGTGCGCATGTGCGTCTGTGTGCAGGACGTGTGTGCGCATGTGCGTCTGTGTGCAGGACGTGTGTGCGCATGTGCGTCTGTGTGCTGGCATGTACACTTGTGTGGGTACCTACACAGAACAGAAGAGGAAGCAGAAGCCCCTACTGCTGGAGTGACAAGCGGTTGTAGGCTGCTAATGATGGTGTAGGAACCGAACTCAGTTCCTCTGCAAGAGCAATAAGCACTCTTAACCCCGAACATTGTTGAGCCCCTTTGTGTTACTTTTATGTGTATGTTGATGAATGTTCTTTCTGGTACTGAGGACTGACGGCAGACCCTCGCTCACACAGAAGAGTACCCACCCCCTACCCCTGAACTGCATCCCGGGCTGTTGACGAGTTTTGAAAGACACTTTTGCAGATTTTTGGCAGGGGCCCCTTTTCTTCCTCCTCCTCTCCCCTCCTCTGTCTCATCTTACATGACTGTCTCACAGTCCTTTTCCTCATTTAGAAAGTGTACTGCCTTGGACCAGAAAAAGACCTTATTGGATTGCAGACTTATGAAAAGTTCTCACACTAGGAAGGGTGGAGGGTTGTCAGTGGACGAGAGGGGGAAGGGGAAGGGTTCCACACTGCTCTGCCTTTCTGGGGGCAGAAGAAGAAGGCTCACTAAATTTTGCCACTTGGTACTTGACAGTGACCACTACCCAGTGCCCTGTAGGCAACTGAGACCCCCTTCCTGCCCTCTACATTGCGGGGTCTTTGTGACCCCAGCTTGCAGTCAATTAACACCATGAAGCATGGGAATTTATAGCCCTTGCTTTTTATTTTCTCAATGAGGGAGAACCTGGAAGATGCCCAAACTGGAAAGGAATAAGTAATAGTGTGGTTTGGGGGGTCCCAGGTCTCTTGTTTGACCCCCAGAGAACCCCGTGTGGCTTTTATTTTATTTTAAAAACAAACTTCCAATGTCTAACTTTTTAATTCTTGCCATAACACCAGCTGGCTCGTAATTAACCGCTGGCATCATCAATATCTCGTCAAAGTTAATGAGTTTTTAACATAATTTTTAACTGCTCTAAAGAGGTTACAGAATTAAAAGAACAAGAATAATGTATATATTTATTCATAGACAAACTGAGGGATGAAAGAGAGGGATGCAGCTCTCAGGCCTCTGGGCAAAAAATTTGAGATTCCTTCCCTGGGCCTTTAGGGAATTCAGCATGGAGGGGAAGGGGTTGAGGGAAGTGGTGGGTTCACACCTCCGAGAACTTGCTGAAGCTAACATTTGCTTGTTGTTGCTTAAAATGAGTAGCAGTCAGAGGCAGAGGATCTCTGATGCTTAGTCTGTCTCTGTCTCTGTCTGTCTCTCTGTCTGTCTCTCTCTCTGTCTCCCTTTACCGATGAGCTACTGTAATTTTGTGTTCTCAGTGACTGTCTGCCTAGAAGATGCCATTTTGTAGGATTCCTGTGTATCTTTTGGCTGTTAAATTTCTGTCTCTGAGCCTTCGAGGGGCACGTAAAAGCATCTAGGTTAGATTTCTGTCTCTGAGCCTTCGAGGGGCACGTAAAAGCATCTAGGTTAAATTTCTGTCTCTGAGCCTTCGAGGGGCACGTAAAAGCATCTAGGTTAAATTTCTGTCTCTGAACCTTCGAGGGGCGCGTAAAAGCATCTAGGTTAAATTTCTGTCTCTGAGCCTTCAAGGGGCACGTAAAAGCGTCTAGGTCCGGGCTGAGTCCTCAGCCATTGCTCAGTCTTAGTATTTTTGGCAGCCACAAATCTCTTCACTTAGAGCTGTTCAACACAAAGAGGAGGTTTTTTGGTTAAGGCTGAGGATAGTATTTGTCTATGGGTATAAACATAATTATTTAGGAAGCAGTTTAAAGCTAAGTAAATTTGACTAAGCAGAGTTCCCCCTCTAGTACCCACAACCTCCCCAAGAATGGTATGCCACCAGGTATGAATTCTCTCCAACAAAGCGAGGCTGAAATCCAACCAGAGAGCTGCTGGTTATCACCCATGACAATCATACCAGTATTGCACAGGTAGACTCATCTTGCCTGTCAGGTTGGTATTGGAGTTTGAAGTGTTCACAGTGTGTAAATCCATTGAGGCCTATGAAAATTAGTCCCAGGAAGTAACTTTCCCCATCAGGAGGACCTGGTGTGTTTAGTGGTAGAGCCAGTACTTAACATGTGTGCATCTTAGTTTGACTCCTACACAGTGTGTGTGAGGGGACAAAGTGTGGTAAGTTTACACAATGAAAGTAAGAGAAGGATCAGACTGCTCTCCCTATGCCATGAAACTGAAATTACATTTCAAAATAAAGGAGGTATAGAAAAGCTACATGGAAAACTACCGTCTTGCAAACCAAGTAAAATTTATGACAGAAAATTAGGAAGGAGTTCTATAATGCCAGTCCTAGAAGCAACAGAATACTAACCAAAAATCCCAAGGCCAGGGGAGGGATACCTCCGTAGCATTCTAGCTACCTACATGTAGTGGTTTGAATGAATAGGGCCTCCACACACCCAGAGGCAGCGCACTATTAGTGAGTGTGTCCTTTTTGGAGTAGGTGTGGCCTTGGAAGAAGTGTGTCGCTGTGGGGGTGGGCTTTAAGGTTTCACAAGACCAAGACAGGCCCAGTATTTCTCTTCTCACTGCCTGCTGTTTCCGATGTGGAACTCTTGACTCCTTCTCCAGCACCAGGTCTGCCTGCACACCACTGGGTACCGCCATGGCCATGATGATAACGGACTTAACCTCTGAACTGTGAGCACGCCCAGTTAAATGTTTTCCAAGAGTTGCCATGGTCGTGGTGTCTCTTCACAGCAGTAGAACACTGACAAAGACACTACATTAACTCACCATGAGTTGAGAAATCTCAATTGCTCTCTAGTCACTTTGTGGCTGTTTGGAACATGGATTTTTATTCATACATGTAGACCTCTTTTTCTATTTCCCTTTTTATGCTCAATACTGTGACTTTAATTTCTATCAATGTTTTACATACTTGCTTACATTTATTTTAGGACAGAGTCTTGCTGTGTAGCCCAAGCTGGCCTCAAGCTTGAGATCCTCTTGCTGCAGCCTCTGACGTCCTGGAATTACAGCCCTATAACAGCATGCTCGGCAACACTGGGTTTTTAATACCTTTTCAGAAGACTTCATACATATTACTTGTTGATTTTAGGTGCTGTGTGGTATTCTGCATGGAACTAGGATGTCTCCTGTGGTTGTACAGCTGTATTTTTTTCAGGTTCCTGCTGTTGTAGCCAATGCTGCCTAGGTCTATAAACTTGATGCCTCAGCACTTGTGTATAACAAATAATAAAAGAAAATTTATTTACAATTTGACAAGATGGATGGGAGGTTTGATGTCCTCCTCAACCATTCATTGTACCATCTACAATTTATAGAAAGTGATCAGGTAGAGGTTCAGATGTAAGCATTTGTTCATTTAACTGGTAGGTAGGTTAGCTAAACTTTTTTCTGAGGAGAATTGGACCTGGCCCTAGTTTTCTGGGGGGTCATTTAATTTTTCTTTTATTAAATTTATTCGTTGACTTTACATTCCGAGCACAGTGTCCCCTCCCTCCCCTCCTACTGTTCCGTCCCCAACTCCTATCTCCTTTCCTCCTCATCTACTCCTCCTTGCATCACTGGGCAAGGTAATCCAGCATGGAGAACAGGTTCCCAAAGCCAGCTAAGCAGCAGAGACAGGTCCTGATCTCACTGCTAAGAGCCTTATAAACAGACCAAGCTACACACTGTCACACACATTCAAAGGGTCAGCTCCTTGTGCTTCCATGACCCTGCCTGCCTGCTCCGTCATGACCTTTACCCCCCATACAATCCCTCCTCCCTCTCTTCAACAAGACTCCTGAAGCTCAACACAGCGCTTGGCTGTGGAACTCTGCATCTGCTTCCATCAAGTTAGTGGATTAAGGCTCTCTGATGACAATAAGGGAAGTCACCAATCTGATTATATGGGAAGGCCAGTTCAGGCATCTTCTCCAGTATTGCTAGGAGTCATCCTTGTGGATTCCTTGGAGTTTCCCTCAAATCAGGTTTCTCCCCAGCCCCAAATGATCTGCCTATCAAGATGTCTCTTTTGTTACTCTCCTCCTCCAACCCACCTCCAACTCACCTCCCACACTCAGCCTCCCAACACATTCCCTCAAGTTCCCATCACCCCATTCCTTCCCTACCTCCACTTTACCAGGAGATCTCTTCTGTTTCTCTTTCCCAGGGAAATCCGTGTCTTCACATCCCCCTTTGTTCCTGGAGGATATGTTTTTAAATAACAAAGTATTTTTATTAGCTTTCTGAAGATTTCCTACAAACTATCTTGCTCACCCTTCACCTCTCCCCACATCACCTCCAAGACTCAGCCCCTGTCCTGGTTCTTAGAATTATTCTGGTCTCCCCCACCCCCCAGCTTCCATGTTGCTCCCCAAGCCTGAGGTGTAGAGGTTGTGTTCTCTCTCTGTACAGGGTCAGTTACTCTCTGTACAGGGTCAGTTACTCTCTGTACAGGGTCAGTCAGTTGTTCTTTACATGTTGATGAGTTGTGGCTTCCTGTAGAAGTCTCCATCACTGTTAAAGAAGCATCTTCAAGGAGGGGTGAGAGCTTCACTCCTCTGTGGGCACAAGAGAATGTGGTTAGAAACTACACTGGCTTAGGAAACTGGCAGTAGTCCTCTTGTAGCTTCCTTGGCCTCAGCAGCCATGGGTAGCCGGCAAAGTTTGCAGCTAGAGGCATAAATTGCCTCCAGTTGAACAGGCCTAAGTCCACCTGGGTGCTGTTGGTTACCCTCCCAACACAGGTGCCACCATGTCACCTTTCTGAACACCTGGCTGTGCTTACTGTTGTGGTTAGCGGACACTCCGTCTGCATGGGACTGCTGTTGGCTTTGCTCTTCTCACACCGTGCACAGCTCTGTCAGAGCATGAGAGCTAGTCCTTCAGAAGGAGGCCTTCGGACCAGATCCAAACGGTTTTGGAGTATGAGTGTTTTTTTTTTTAATTTAAGTCCAGGAAGAGAAAAATGGAATATAAAGGAACATCCATGTTGAAAAAGAAAAGACTCCTGCCGGGTGTTGGTGGCGCACACCTTTAATCCCAGCACTCAGGAGGCAGAGGTAGGTGGAACTCTGTGAGTTCAAGGCCAGCCTGGTCTACAAGTGAATTCCAGGACAGCCTCCAAAGCAATACAGAGAAACCCTGTTTCAAAAAAACCAAAAAAAGAAAAGAAAGGAAGGAAGGAAGAAAGAAAGAAAGAAAGAAAAAAGGAAAGAAAGAAAGAAAGAAAGAAAGAAAGAAAGAAAGAAAGAAAGAAAGAAAGAAAGAAAGAAAGCCAGGTTGTGTGGCAGATAGGCTTCCCACTTTTTCTGTGCCTAGCAGAGTTCTTTAAGTGTAGTTCCTTGGGTTGGTGGAAAGTAGAAACCTTTTCTATCTTTTCTTTGGAGGTTGATTTCAAGTTCCAGACCCCTGAATTTGTTTTAAACATACTGATTTTAAGAGTGAATAGTCTGATAGTGGAAGGGAAGGGGTGGGGTGTTTGACTTTAATCCTAATCTCCTCTCCCAGCAGGGCTCCAGCATCTTGACTTTTTCATGTATGAACCATTACTGACCTTTGTGAAAATTTTTCTGTAATAACCCTAGAACTAGATCATATGGTGTCTAAACAAAACACAACTCTCTCTTCAAAGAGTTGATTTTGGACCAAATAGGAGTGATCAAGGCCTAGGAATGCTGATTCAGATTGTCCCGGGGCATGTTACACTGTGGAACAGCAGATACCATTGTCACAGAATAAAAAGAAATCATGACTTAAGGCACTACCACTGGTAGGAACCTCAGGTAGGTTGCAGCAAAATGGAGAATTACAAGCTATAACTTTGGAAACTGTTGGACGACAGTCTTAAGTTTTGAGGCAGGTAGAAACTACTGGTCTGTTACAATAACACATCCCAAATGTATCTGATCCTCAAAATGTTTTTGAGTAAGAGGTAGAGGTGGGCAGTGATGGCACATGGTAATTAGCGCTGTGACATTCTAATTTACCACAGTCCGTGCCCCCAAGTTCTAGTCAATCAAGTGACCTGGTAGAATCTTCAACATAGATTTGTCTTTCTTCTGGGAATTTCTTGTTTTCAAGGGTACATCTAACCCTTATATGCTCACACTACAGTGTGGCTCTCCACTACCACCAACCTGCTCAGGAATTCATTATAGCCATAAGTAGCTAGTCCTTATCACTATCCTGCCCCCTATTGTTTTCAGCCAATCTTTGATGGGAAGTTACATTTCACAGTTGTAATTTGCCTTTGTCCAGTTATCAGTTAGTCTGAACTTCTTTTACGTGTATCCTAGTTGGTTTCCTTTTGCTGTGATAAAAACCACGACCAAAAGCAACTTGAGGAAGAAAGGGTTTATTTCATCTTACAACTCTGAGATCTTTGAAGTTCAGAGTTTCTACAAAATACCCAAATTCTCTCTAAAATTTCAAAATCTCCAAAAGCTTCCAAAGTCTCTCTGAAAATCCAAAGTTCCTTGGAAATTAAAATAATAACTTACATAATACTTTCTTACTCAAAGAAGAATGACACAGGGACAGTTGCAATCAGACTGAAACAAAACCAAAGTCCACAGCGTGGAGACTTCTGGGACTCGGGATCTTCTGGGCTCCCACAGGCTTCCACAGCAGCAACGCCTCTCTGGCTCTGCCATTGCCAGCACATGCAGCTTGCCTCAGGCTGGCGCCGCTCCATACCTTCTGTTCTTTGGTAGTCATCCCATGGTAATGCTAGAGCCTCTGCAACTGGACTACACCTTCACCTAGAATCTGGTCTATCCCTAGACTCGGTTAATACTGGCATGAGCAACGATGTGAGTGCTGGGAATGGAACTCAAGTCTTCTGCATGAGCAGAAGGTGCTAACCACTGCACCATTCCTCTCGCCCATCAGCCTGCTCTCTTACACACAGCAGGACCACCTGCCAAGGAATGGCACCAGGTGTGGTGAACAGGGTCCTCCCACATCAATCACTATTGAAGAAAATGCTCTTCAGGCTCGTCTACAGGCCAATCCAGTGAGGGCATCTTCTCAGTTGAGGATCCCTCTTCCAAAATGACTTGTGCCAAGTTGACATAAAACTATTCATCACATTTAGCTATTTAAGAGCATTTAAAACTGAATTTTAGAATAAAGCTTAGAATTGCGATTGTAGGGAATTGGATCTTCACAGTAAACCATGAGTTGCCTCTAGTTTTATTTATATGATTTTATATTTTAATATGCTTATGTATCATCCTTCCTACGGACCTCTACTCATTTTAATTTTTTTCTGAGTTTTATATTTTCAATGAACCGTTAATGATTTTTAAAAATAGCACAATGTCAGAGCAAAGGTGTACCATTTAGTGGTGTTTGATGGCTTTCCAACTGTTGTTGCACTGACTGTGAACGTGTCTCCTGAAACCTTCATCACACATACAAATGCTGTGTCCTACCCTGCAAGATTCGGGTTTGGTTGGTTGGAGCAGGTTTAGGAATCTGAGCTTGCAACATCTCTCGAATCATTTTGGTGGGTGGCCATGTAGGAGCCCTGTTCGTTGCTCTAAAAGATGATTGGGGAGGTTTAAAACATTGATTTTTCCTTTTCTCCATTTGAATGTTCCAAGAAAAGACAATTTTGAGATAATTAGGAATTGTGAATCAGTACTGATAATTATAAATATAGGTAAATCACAATTTTATTGTGCTTTGAAAAAAATCTCTAATACCTTAGATCTGCTAAACATTCCTGGATATGATTTAAAGGCAAATTCATCAAAATATTCAGGGCAAATCCATAAATATAACTTACTCTTTTTTTTCTGTCCAAAAACAAAGCACGGCGGTTATCAGCGATGACTATTGGATGGCTGGCAGACGGACACTCACATCGCTGTGAGATAACACTGCCTGCTTCCACTTAGCATGTGCAACACATAACTCTTAGCCCCACTTGGATGAAGCTTATTAGAATACATTTCATCAGTGAGATCAACAAGGAGACTGTGGTAGCTTTCAGGATCACATGGCGACAGGGAAGGTGGACGTTCATGGGGTTGTTTGTAATGACCTGTTTCAGCTCTCTCACAACTTGAGTGAAAGGGCCCTTACATATCATCCAGAGGAAGGTGGCCCAATCACTTGTGCACTTGTTCACGTGACTCACCATTTTTTACAGGAGCACGTTAAAGACTTTGCAGATGAAAACACAAGTGTCTCATGATAGGAAACTCGAGGGAGCTGGTCCTCACCTTATACCATGTGGGTTCCAGGGACCAAAACCAGGTCATCCGCCTTGTTGGTCATATTCCTTCCTCCAGCTGGTAGAATGTTTATATGTGAGAAAACCATCATTGCTCTCTTACACAGATCAAGAGAGTATCCACACAGGAAAACATCAAACAAAACTCTTACTAGGAATTTTGAAGATAAAGTAAGTCTTACAGCAGCCCAAAGCATCCCTTAGGATCTTTGAGAACACCTTATTCAGATTGTTCCTATCAAGGAACACTGTGATAGGAGACAAGAAGACTGCTATACAATATTGATGCTGATGTATAAAATGTTTAAGAAATAATTTATCTCTACTGAATACATACATTTTCTTGACATTATTCCTTAAACAATGCATTTACTTCTACAGCATGAACGTGGCATTAGATGTTATAAATAATCTAGAGATGGTTTAAAATATATGCAACTACTATTCCACCTGGTACAACTGACTTAAGCATTCACAAGCACATGGTATTTGCCAGGGGTTCTGGAACCAAGCCCATAAACACTAATAGACTATACCTATATAGATACAGATGATACAGGAGTGATGTAGATATAGATACAGAGGGAGGAGGATTTGGTAGCATCTATTACTTATGAAGTCACCATTTCCAGCCATTATCTGACATTTCTGTGTATAAAGATTAGAAAACATACATTAAAAAGTTGTTTTCACAGATGTGTTGGAACTCTGAAGGCTGAGACAGGAGGTCATATATTCAGTCCAGCCTGGGATATGTAGTATGAACCTACCTAAAAGAACCAAAAAGAAAGAAACAAAGAACAGTTTTCAAGCTTGACAATTTCGTCTGGGAAAATGTGGCTGAGAAAACGGTGAACTTGCTGTGAGCTAGGGTTTTCTGAGTGCAAGCATCTCCAGTCCCTTGGTACTGACTGGTACTAGTATTTCTCCTTTCCATGACCGTGTTTTTTTCTGTATGAATTGAGAGCAGGGGTAGCAAACTCTCTGGAGGGGACCTTTATAAACATCGCAGGCTTTGTGGTTCTGCGGCCTCTGTCCCCCATAGTCACCGAGTCACGGCAGTGTGAAAGCCACATGTCAGCAGTGAACAGATGGGGTGTTCCAGTAGAACGTGCAGACTAGGAGGCCAGAGCAGTCCAGGAGGCAGAGTTTTCTCACCTGACCTAGAGTCACCATGACTCTTCAAAGCCATGAAAGAAATCAAAGGTGTAGCCTGGATGTGCTTTCATGTTCCTCTCACACATTTCACGTGTGTTTCTTTTTCTTTTTCTTTTCTTTTTTTAATGTATTTAGGAGGGGGAGGGAGAGGGAAGCTTGTTTCTAATTTAAATTTTAAAAGATGTATTTTATTTATTTACATGTGCATAACTGTGTGTGGGTGTCTGAGGAGGCCAGAGGGGGCATCAGATAGATAGATGCTCCTGGAGCTGCAATTAAAGGCAGTTGTGGGCCTCCTCACATGGGCTCTAGCACTGAATTTGGGTCCTCTGCAAGAGCATTGCCTAGTCAACACTGAGCCGTCTCTCCAGCCCCTCCCCTAAAAAAATCACTTATTTATTTGCTTTTCTTTACTTAGTGTGCTCATGAGCGAGTGCTTTATGTGTGTGTGCATGTGTGTATGTGTGTGCATGTGTGTATGTGTGTGTATG